TTATCAATGACTTGACGACGTGAAAAACATGTTTATAAAACGAGCAGATGGCGCCGAGCGGAGAGGGAGGTGACGCGGTGACTCAGGAACCACAAGCTCTGGAGGCTGAACAAGAATCGGTTACAGGAGATGAACACAAGGCTCGATTCTCCTGTTAAACTTGACGGTCACCAACGGGGGGTGGGGGGCAGGGGGTGCGCGAGGCCCTTGGCTTCACCGAAGACCTTAAGGAAAGACTCTGGATGTTAGTGGGCTCGGCCTCAGGATCAGCCAGCACTGAGATGTGCACTTGGCAGGATGAATGTAACTTATGGTGGATAAAGGGGGAGGCCTGATCCAGGAAGAAGCACACTGGGACCTGGGGCCCCTCTGGAGGGTGGATCTTCCAGGTCACAGGGAAACAGCACGCCCAGGAGAGGGTGAGCCTGGCCGCTGGCATCCTGAAGGCCAGGCTCGCCCCACACTCTGCGACACCCTCCCCGCACGAAGATTCTGTAAGTGGAATCGGAAGGAGGATGTGAGAAGGCCAGACAGCCATGCCACACCAGGCCAGACATCTTACGAACCTATCGGTTCAGCTTTAAGAAAGAGAGTAAAGAGCATCTAAAATCTGAACTTTGAGCAGCTGAACTGTGTGGAATGACAACCCGCCAGCACTGTTTCTTGGCACCGGAGGTCCTGAAGAGCTCACAGAAGGTGCACTTGCAGTTCTAGTTCAGAGATGATGCTTTTAGACAATCTTTCCCTTCGAGAAGTAGCCTAATGAGAAGGACTCCGTAGATCTCTTCCCTAAAAAAGAATCTGCAGTCTCTGGTAGAACAGCTGCCCAGAACAGCTTCTGCCTGTGAGGTAGCAAAGAAAAAGGCCCACACTGAATTTGCTGGGATATTTTCTTTTCAGTACCAACAAACTGACAGCCCTCCCAAATCCTAGGGGCAGAGTCGACTGGCGCTGAGATCAAAAGGGGTGGAGGGAAGGCAGCCAGGTTGGGAGTCTCTCTCCTGCGACTTTCTTGGCGAGGTGACATATATGCTCAGAACCTTTTTCTATGGAAGGAAAAAGAAAACCCTGGCTTAATCATCAAAGTTAGGAGAATCACCCATGTATTGATCTTTAAAAGCAAATAATGATAATTTTCAGTCACTCAGAAGAAACCAAGGCAAAATATTCCTCTTAGGGGACTCTGCTTAGAGTTTTGGGAGAGAAAAAAAAAACTAAACCAAAGGTTTATTTAGGAAGAAATTGTTTTCTGAGTATTCTAAGGAAAGCTATGCTTAGCCAAAGTGCTTCAGCCCTTGTACATGTTTCAAATACTTCTGCAGGAGTTTGTAATGGACGTAGATTTTCTCAACACACACACACAATCTCAGGTGAGCCCACGACAGCCTATGAGGCCAGCACTGGGGAGTCTGGGCTTCAGCTCCAACGGGCCAGACTCTAAACCCCGAAGTTCTTGTCTGCCAAGTAAGGGGGTTTATTGTGAGGACCAGAGACGGCACATTCACGAGCATGGGGGACACTGGCTCACCATGCCCTGGCGATGCCACGGTTAGGACGACGCTCACGCAGCTGCAGCGCAGGGCCAGCGTGGTGACCCTGACTCCTGGGAATGGTGACGCTGTAAGGCAAGGGTCTGGGAGATGCTCACAGCCGCGCCTCTGGCTGTGAGGCGGCTATGATCCTCCAGCAGCAATGCCCTCAGAAGCCGGGAGATGCGAACCCCACATGACTCTCCTCACTGTCTTCCTGTCCCTGGGCCTTCAGCTCTTCGTTGTCTCTGTCTTGTCTCCCTGCATTGTTTCTGTCTTGTTTCTCTCTCTCTCTCTCTCTCGTTATTACAACATAGAGGCAAAAATACTTTTTTGTTTAGGATATGGCACCAAAATAGTATCATAGCCCCATTCTTAATTTGAAATGCAGACAAGTGAAATGCTGCATAATTCTTTTTTAAACATTCAAATAACAGAAAATGCATACTAAGTTCTTTAAACTTCCGAGATAATACAACTAGACCTAGCATGCTGCCAGCCAAGCATCTCATAGTGTGGGTTTCCTTCTCCTTTGGGGGCTCATTCGGAGGCTCATGCTCAAGGTGCATCCAGGAAGTCAGGCGACCGTGTCCATCTCCTGGGTGGAAGAATGACCCGGGGAAGTGCTCCATGGGGAAGACGAGGCAGGAGAGAAGGGAGGAGTGGTCCCAAGGACCCCTTCAATAGACCTGGGAGTGCCCGGTGAGTGTGAGGAAAGGACACGGTGGGAGTGCCAGGTGCAGAGGGAGGACTCCATCCCGAAGGTTCCATCCCGAACGGAGGACAGCGTGTCCGAGTACTCGGATTTGCTTCCATCCCCGCAGAGGATAGTGTGCGCCCAGCATGTGGACTCGCTTCCATGGCGACACGGAGGACAGCGTGGAGCCCAGCTCGAGCGCCACCCACCTGCCATGACAGTGCAGCACGGGCCTTTCCAAGCCACAGAGCCATGGGGAAGCTGGTCCTCCTGGACCGTGTGTGGCTGTTTTGGAGCCAGTTGTGTCCCGTGCAGAGTGCAGTGGCCGCAGGTGAGGCAGGAGCGAAGACGAAGGAGGCGGCCATCTCTCCGGGGCCTGGCAACAGGGAGAGCTTTAGCCAAGCCACTGTCCCCCTGAGGACAAGATCTCCTTCCTAAAGGCAAGACGGCCAGGAGTATGGAGAAGAAAGTAGGGAATACAAGTTTGCTCAGAATAAACCCATGTGTTCATGAAAATATTTCTATCTAGGGTTCTCCCAGGAGATGAACTTGCCCTTCTCTGTCTTCCCTGGTGGCCTCTCAATCCTGAAGGGCAGCGCTGTGTCTTCACATCCTGGCACATGGGTCAGGAGAACCCTGGGAGGAGGTGCAAGTGGCTTCCTTCTGGCTCCAGCGTGAGTCTCAGGAGGGAGGTGCTTCCCCCCCTTCACCCGTGACCTGGCTCAAAGTGGGCAGGGCCATCCTGATCCCCACAAGAACATCAGGCACCCATCCACGTGTGGCTGCCCTGTTGGCGCTGGCCGCTACCTTGAGAGGCTGCCTGTGTCCCATCTGAGCATGGACCACTTCACCATCACTAGGTCCCTCGCCCCCAAAGCCCCATCCACACTGCACAGACAGAGCCCAGGTGGCTGCAGGGCACATGGGAGGAAAACCCCATCGCCAGGTCATTTCTGCCATGCTCTGGGCTGTCTCTGGGGAGGGTGTGCTGTCAGACTAATATTTACCATGAAACACCTCACAATCCAAGTAAACGACCAGACACACAGAGACACGTAATGCACGCTTACTGCATGGCTGTTTACCATGAACCATGTTACCACTCAGGACTCAGCAGGACACCCCCTCACCGCCACCCTCACTTGCCCTACCACACCGGCTTCGCTCCCCACCCTCTCCTCCCCCAGGCTGCTCCTCTCTGAGGACAGTGGCCAGGCCCCCCTTGGTCCATCGTGAGTCCCAGAGCCTGTCAATAGCCCCCAACACACAGTAGGTGCTTAGTAAATATCTGTTAGTTGGCTGATGGGATGTATTGTATTTTGCTTTTCTTCTAAATATAAACTTTATAAATCACAACAGCTTCTGTTTTTAGATCTCTTTAGGGTTAAAACCCTCAGACCTCATAGAAAGTGGTCTGAACACTAAATGGGTAGCAAGAAGCGTGCACCCACATGGGTGAATGGGATTTTACACAGGTCTGCAATGCCCCAGGTTAGTTTCTGAAGGAAAACAAGATTCCAGCTTCTCTCTGTTCTGACTGGTAACACTTCCTGTGGGCTGGAAGGAGTGGAAGGGCAGCGCCTCTCCCTGGCGTGCACCGGGGCTGCCCTGGGGGGCTGTGCTTCTGGGCACAAGGCCAGGCGGTGTCTCAGGAACACCAGTCTGGTCCCTTGACTGGCTCTGAAGGGCTGAGGCAGGGACACAGTGACAGAGAGACGGCCTCGGCCACAGGGGACGCTGGTCCTGCCTGCTGCTGTGATGCTGAAAGTGAGTGTGGCCGAGCGGTGCTCTCGAAGTGTGAGCTGACGAGCCCCCTCTGTCACATCAGAGGTATGGGTGAGGGCCTTGTCTTAGGATCCTCAGGAGAGTAACCAAGGAACTCTACCCATACTGTCATTTATCATTCATATCATTCATGAATCAACATTGTGAGTATCTACTTCCCTCCGAAACTCTGGTCACGAACACATCTAGCACCCTCTTCCTCCCAGCGGGTGGGTTTATAACCAAGCAAAGTACGGAACCTCCCTTGGAACCTGCTGTACACAGAGAGGGTGAGTGAGGTGGACACCAGCGCCGGGCGGCCCTCTCCCTCCTCATCCCGTAAGCAACTTAGTGCCTCCTGCGCTGCGGGAACACGGGGCGGTGTCTCCTCCGCTCCACGCGAGTCACTCGGAGAACTGCTGGCTTACGTTTCCATTTTCTGGCAATGATCCCTAGCTAGGTAGTAGGTGCTCAGTAATGTTTGTGGAAATAGTTGTAAAGTTAAAGATGCTGTAAAAGCGACCACTGTTCATCCTGTGCCTCCGGTGTGCTGGTGCTACTCTAATGACCCCATCTAATCCTTACAGCAGCAATATTTCAAGGACGACAGCATGACCCCAATTACAGATGTGACATGGAGGCTCCAAGAGGTTCAGGAACATGTCTCAAGTCACACGGCGACAGAGAACAATAAAGCTGATGCCCACTGGGGTGCAGATGTCCCCAAGCCCGTGCTGGAGGAAAGGAAGACACTGGGTCCTTGTTGGTTGGGCTGGGGATGGCACTGCAGAGGGGAGATTCCCATGAGGGCCTTCCCAGAGTGGGCAGGTCTGCTGTAGAGGAGGGGGTGCCGGGAAGGAGGAGGGGAGGATTTTCCAGACCCTGAGGACGGGGCTGTTTCCCTGGCCTGTACTCTGGCCTCCCGCCCCTGGGGCTGGTATGTACAGGTCAGCACGGCCAGTTTCCCCCTCCTGTCACCCTGGCCTCCCACCCCCGGAGCTGGTACGTACAGGTCAGCACGGCCAGGGAGCGGTTCTTGGGCACGTTCTCCTCCTTCTGGGCCACAAGTGAGCTGTTGGGCTCCGCCTGGTAGGCACACAGCGCCTCCCACTCCTTCTCCAGCCGGTTCTTGTTCTTCAGGTGGTCCTCCATGTAGGACTGAAAGTGAAACACAGGGTCAGGAGTGCTCCTGAGTGGGGAGCCCAGACTGGCAGATGTACAAAAGGCAGCAGAGGCCTTCGCACATGCTGCGTGGGCTGTGCCCACCATGCTCACAAGCCTGGGCCGTGCCTGCAATGAGCATAAGCCTGGGCTGTGGTGTGACGCCATTTAATTAGAAGCTCTCGTTTCCTCCAACGTGTGCTATGGTGCACAATGCATATAACACCATGCGACTGTTAAGTGAATATGTGCATTGTTATTACACAGATTTTACACGTGTAAATATAACCTCGGGTGTTAGGTATGTGTGTGGGGATCAGTTTACCAGTGAGATGACAACAATTATCATATCCTTTAATTACAGGGACAGGGAGCTTGGACCAAGCTCTTGCTGGGGCCATCCCACGTTCCCATTTCTGCTTGCATAGAAGTCATTTTTCTTAAAACCGACACAATTTTCTGAACCCACTGGGTGTGATGCAGTTCAGAGACCCGGCTGCTTTGATCCGTGCAAAATGCGGAACAGCTTCTAGCATGAAACAAACACAAATGGATGGAAGCAAATATTTTGACCCTTGGCTGTTCCAATCTTAATTTTTCTGGTGCTTGTCAGTGAGCATTACTATGAGCAGACGAGGAAACAAAGGCCTTCTGAAAATCACCCTCCACAAAGACCCCTGTGCCGCCAGCACAGCCCGCTGGCTTCTCATTCGTCTGTATGGTTGGGAACTGGCCCTGATTTTAAGGAAAAGCATTTCAAAGGACCAAACCCAGCTGCACTATGGCACCCCAGGAAGTGACAGCCTCATCTGCTGTCACTCTGCTTGCGCATTTGCAAGGTGCCACGTGTCATGTGTAGACATAGTTTCCAAGTGTGTCCACACAAGAAAATAAAGCATGTGCGTGCACACATCATCCTTTGCTGCAAAGCAGCCGCGCACTCCACTGTCAGGCCCGGGGTTCAAGCCCTTCTCACCTTCCACCCACCCCCTGACATCCCCTTCGATTGATCCAAGGAGCTGGGATGGTCCCTCCCTGCCCACTGAGCCGGTTCCAGGAGATAGGCGGAGAAAGAGACACGCAGGGAGGGAGGGCTGGACACAGCGAGGCGGGAATCTCAGCTCATTGTGCCGTCTAGTGGAAGTTTTGATCACAGCCAACCTGAACCCATGCAGCAAACACACACCCTGCCGTGTTGGCCCGGCTCACACGGGAGCAGGTGCATCGGGCACGTGTGCTGTTTAGCGCGACTCCCCTGCATCCGGGTGGGCGTGGTGGTGGGGGACAATTGCCTGGCTCAGGGTGGGCACTCTGAGGCCGCCTGTTAGGAGGTCCCAGGTTGTCACTGTCGCCCCCACCATGGCCCTGCTTGAGCTGGTTGCGAAGGGCAGAGTGACTCCAGTGTCGATGAGAAGATGCACTGACTGCCCGCTCCATGCAGCGAACGCTTTTCCCACACCGTGCCTTGAGCCTTGGGAGCACACCCACGCCAGGAACAGAAACATCAGGGCAGCTCTGAGCCAAAGCGAACGAGTTCGTCCACTCCCGTCACCAGCCCCAACACCCAGGAAGCCTCGGGGTTTCTTGTGAGTGGAAGAAGCACCCCATAGAGATGTCTCGAGTTACGAAATTAGGCAAAATTCTAACGGCTCAGTCTAGGAAATGTGAATTACACATTCTTTCTTTTGAGACAACCATGATGGAACATCAAATTCATATTTCTGTAACAAAGTTACCCTAATAGGAAAAACATTCTTGGATGATATAATATTTAAGTTTTGTGCAAATACTGACCAGCTCATCCAGCCCAAGTCTGGTGTGTGGGGGACCCTGGGAGGTGGATAGTTATGGTGAAAGAATAGTCCCAGTCTGTTTCTGTAGCTACTTTCCTCAAGGTGGGCTTATGTAGAGTTCTACAAATAGGTAGGTATAAAATGTTCCTGGAAAATGATGCTGGGTCCTAGCTTTTCTTTGGAAAATGCTCTTTTCATAAAATCCATCACAAACAAATGGGCTTCCTTCAATAAAACATAATGGGTTCTAAAATGATGAACCCTAGCAGGTTTAATCCAATGGAAAATATTGTCTGCAAAAGAGGCATTGGATATTACCTTAATTCCTATAAAGTGCAGCTGTTTAAATTCTCACATTTATCTTAACTTGGGAAGCAAAATTATACTCTTAAGTTCTCTTGAATTTCTAAATTGATGGCAAAAATACAAACTGAGCCTGCGTGGCGTAAGGCTGGGTGGTAGGAGGGAGGAAGAGGTAGATACTGGCGTGATGTTTTTTCACAGAGCATAAAGTCATCTGCAGAGGCACTTGACTCTGTTAACACTGAGCTAAAGCTGACACCTCTCTGCACACGCCACTCCAGTGGGCTGTTTGTCCCATTCTGCTCATTTCAATTTGATCTGTTCTGTATTCTTCTATCAATATTTTTTAGGAAACATCCTTTGTGATATTAAACTGATGAAATATCCCGCAACCGCATCTTAGGAGTCTTTTTCCTCTTTCGTGGCTTGTAGATAAGATGCTTTTCATCTGTGAGTCTGTGGGGAAGCTAGGCCTTCATGGCAAAGTAATGTTTTAAACAATGAAAGCAAAACCAAAGGTACCATGGGAGCTTAGTACAGATGCTCCCCTACTTACGATGGGTTATGGCCCAAGGGTTTCTGAAGTTGAAAGTACATTGAGGCCGGGCTCGGTAGCTCACGCCTATAATCCCAGCACTTTGGGAGGCTGAGGTGGGTGGATCACCTGAGGCCAGGAGTTTGAGACCAGCCTGGCCAACATGGTGAAACCTTGTCTCTACTAAAAATACAAAAATTAGCCGGGCATGGTGGTGGGCACCTCTAAGCCCAGCTACTCGGGAGGCTGAGGCAGAAGAATCGCTTGAACCTGGGAAGCGGACATTGCAGTGAGCTCACACCATGGCACTCCAGCCTGGGTGACAAGAGTGAAACTCCGTCTCAAAAAAAAAAAATGTGCATTGAACACAGGTAACCTACTGAGTGTCACAGCTGAGCCTAGCCTGCCTTACACATGCTCAGAATACCTACCTTCCTCTGCAGTTGGGCAAACCCATCTCACACAAAGCCTACTGAGGATAAAGCGTTGAATATCTTACGTGATTCATTGAACATTGAACTGAAAGTGAGTAACAGAATGGTTGCATGGGTACTTGAAGTTCAGTTTCTATTTAATGCATGTTGCTTCTGCACCACTGTAAAGTCAAACCATCATAAGCTGGGGGCCATCTGCACTGTGGCGTCCTGCCTGTGAATGTGAACTCAGACAAGTGTAGCAACTCTACTCAGATGCCTTCTGGAATTATTAGGAAATTAACATGTAATTTAAACAGTATTCATGGCCTTTCCCCGATAGTGGGCATTTAGCTATAGGTGTTTTAAAAACTGACATTTAAGCAAACAAATCAGTAAGAAAACAACAACAACAACAACAAACAATCCTACCAAAAAGTGGGCTAAGGACATGAAGAGACAATTCTCAGAAGAAGATACACAAACGACCAACAGACATATGAAAAAATGCTCAACATCACTAATGATCAGGGAAATGCAAATCAAAACCACAATGCGATACCACCTTACTCCTGCAAGAATGGCCATAACCAAAACATCAATAAACAGTAGATGTTGGTTTCCAGTGAACAGGGAACACTTCTACACTGCTGGTGGGAATGTAAACTAGTACAGCCGCTATGGAAAACAGTGTGGAGATTTCTTAAAGAACTTAAAGTAGAACTACCATATGATCCAGCAATCCCACTACTGGGTATTTACCTAGAGGAAAAGATGTCATTATACAAAAAAATATACTTGCACACGCATGTTTATAGCAGCACAATTCACAACTGCAAAATTGTGGAACAAACCCAAATGCGTATCAATCAATGAGAGGATAAAGAAACTGTGGCATACAATGGAATACTACACAGCCATAAAAAAGAATGATTTAACAGCATTTGCAGTGACCCGGATGAGACTGGAGACTATTCTTCTAAGTGAAGTAACTCAGGAATGGAAAACCAAACATCGTATGTTCTCCCTGATATGTGGGAGCTAAGTTATGAGGATGCAGATGCATAAGAATGATACAATGGACTTTGGGGACTTGGGGGGAGGGGAGGGAGGGGAGCAAGGGATAAAAGACAACAAATATGGTGCAGTGTATACTGCTCAGGTGATATGTCACCAAAATCTCACAAATCACCACTAAAGAACGTACTCATGTAACTAAATACCACCTGTACCCCAATAAATGGAAAAAAAATCATAAAAAAATAGTGAGCTCAGAAAAAAAAATCCTGACATTTAAATTCTTTTATTTTATAGATGAGTGCATGTGTGTGAGAGACTGTGGTGGTGGGAGGGCTTAGTTTCTTAAGGCACTGTGACTTTTGTTACATAAATAGCACATGTAGAAAAGAACAGAAAATGAAGATAAGCAGAATGGAAACAAAGGCAGCGAATAACCCCAGGGCCCACAGCAAACTGTAAGGCAACCTTTTCCCCCAGGGCTGAGTACCTTCATTTCAGCTTTGGACATCCTCAAGAGAACAGAATTTTACTTCTTTAAAGTGAAAAAGTGCTGAGATGAGGTTCACATCTTACAGATAAGGAAACCAAGGCCTAGAGAAGGTTAGCAATTGGTCCACAGCCCCCAGCAGCCAGTGGTGGCACCAAAGCCTGGGCCTGGCCTCTGAAATGCCCTGTGGAGTTTCTCCTGGCCCGTCACTGCAGCCTTCTTGCCAATCTTCTTACCATCACCTCCCCTTTCCAGTTGCTTGTCCCTGAATGACCATGTTGGCGTTTCTGGTGCAAAATATAACCTATTTAAAAAATTACCAAGGGTGACTAGACTAGCACTGTCCTTTGTCTGAATTTCCTTTTACTAAGCTGATATTTTCTATCCCATAAGACTGCTTCTCAGCCTTTGCCCCCTCCCCACCGCCATCCTTCTCTACATTTTGT